CCCCACAGTTTACAGGACACACTTCCTGCTAAAGAGCCCCCTGGTGGTTGAAGAAAAATCCACATATAAACCGGAAAATACAATAAATGAAAAAAAATCTGAATGCTCTCTGGTATTGTTCAGGGGGCCGGACCAAATGTGGAGGCGGGCCGGATCCGGCCCGCAGGCCGTAGTTTGGGGAGCACTGTCATAAAGTGTCAAGCAGTATATAGTCGATTAAGTCCAATAATGCAGAAAGTTTCAAAGCACATCAAATACATTCTCATCCATTGCTACAAAATAATTTATTGTAATTAATAAAAAAAATTCTAATTAAGGAAACCAAGCTAATTGCTTCAGGTCACTGACCGCAGCAGTCATTCATCCTGAAGCAGAATTTAAAAGTGAGAAGTTGGTGGCATCATGTAGCTTCCTCTGTAGCAATCCCTCTGACTCAGCATGTATGTGATGTCAATAGAACATAGAGCTCTAAGTCTGCTTCCTGTTTGGACCACAGGATTTTCATTCAAAGTGAGACGACTGGCTCTTCAGATAAGGCTTTCTTCAAAATGTTCATAATTTATCAGTGAACATTATGACTGGCTGTCTCGTTTTCTTGATTGCAGTGAGACAACCAGAGGCTAAATAAATGTATGTGGTCAAATTCTGCTGTAAATAGTGAGATCAGGGAGGAGACAAGAGAAAATTAATCCAACTTTTTTTTGACAAATTTTCACACTAAAGTAACACAAGTATATGGGGACATGAACACATTTTCAGAATTTTCTAGACATGATTCATGATTTGAAGAATGGCTATATTTCAGCTTAGCTCAATTTCTGGAGCTAACCTATTCTGCCCCTTGGAAGGCATTAGTCCATAGTTCCTGGTATCTTAGTGTTTGACCAAACAAAAGGATGTCAGCAGGAGGAGAAGAAAAAACAAATGACGATTTAAAATTTTAGGTATTTTTTAAAATAGAATGATTTACTTTTTCTCGTGTTTGGTTTTTCAGCAGACTTTGACCGGCAGGAGGTTTTAGAGGAACATAAGATCAGTCTGAGGAGGAGATGCGAATGTGTGACTGAAGGAAGTGATGAAACAGGAAGTAGAACCCTCCTCAACAAGATCTACACTGATCTCTACATCACAGAGGGTCAGAGTGAAGAGGTTAATACCCAACATGAGGTGAAGCAGCTGGAGAGAGCTTCCAAGATCCAGAACCTCCAT